GACGAAACGTTTCTCCCACTGAAAACGCTACGTCCAAATGAACAGAATCAACTTTTGGAGATTTACTTACCTGGATGATTGAGAATGCATCAAGACATTAGAAGAATTCAAATGTTCAATTACTGTATATGCAGTAGATCTGTTTGCAAAAGTAGTTTTTCCACACTTGACACTTGTTAAGTAATTTGTTGATGATACTAACGCTCTCCTTTGCAGCGCTCCTCTCCTCGCTGCTCCAGATTTCATGTGCCATCTTAAACTCGAGGTGGATGCCAGTGCTGTGTGGGCTGGAGCAGTGCTCCTGCAGGAGGATTCACTCTGTTACTTCTCAAAAAGCAACCATCAACTGCACAATAGTACAGCTGAAAAAGATATCACCCAATATGTATTCATTTATATTTACTCCTGAAATGTTTGTTGAGAGGATTTTGTAAATAATCTTTGTTAAGTAGTGAACTGTGAATATTTCACCACAGCACAGCACATTTCAGCAGAAGTGAGTCGTTTTTTGTTTGTTTTTTTTTGTTTACCTTTGGTTCCTCTTGTTCATTGATAGGGAGCCTAGATTAGAGAACTGTCTTTTAAAATTTCTGTTGTGGAAGCTCAACAGAAGTTTTTTTTTTTTTTTTAATGTTTTGGCATTGTCTACTTCCAGAGCAAAGAAACTGATTCTAGCATCTTAAATGGTACTGTGCTGTTGCTCTTTTCTTGGGGCTGGTGAGGAGTAAGGATTGGGGAGTCACGTTATGTTTAGGTTGTGCCTACGCAAAAGTTTAGACGTTTATTTTAAGGTCACCACAGGAAGTAAGGGTATGGTCCCTTGATTTCTTGTAGTCAGTTTATGATTGGCAAGTGTTTGTTGCCCCCTAGTGGCCTCATGGGGCGATAACAAGTCCGTTTGTTAGAAAAGCTCGGAATCATATGGCCATATTCAGAAACGGTAGTGTAGCACACGTGTATACTGTGAGCAACACACATGATCCGTTACACCAAGGAAAAATACTGAAAGCACGCGCGCGCGCACACACACACACACACACACACACACACACACACACAAAGAAATAAAAAAAGAACCATATTTAACAATTCATGTAATTTGACAATATTTTGAAGGTGTTCACCAGAAATATTTTTATATGTTACTGTGTCCAAGCCAAACTGCTTATCCTGCAAAAGATACAGAGAATTGTCATGCAACACTTGAATAACACAAAACTACTACACTCAGTTTGTTTTGCAAGATGTTTCACAAAATAAAAACACACATTTGATCAAAACACATCATATACAGATCCAATATGTGATTAAAAATAATGACGTCACATATAATCTTTAAATGTGCAGTTTATCAAGTTTCACCTAGCAGTCTACACCTGCCTTCTCCTTTCTTTTCTTACATCTTTCTCCATCTCTGCAGTGAAGTTAGCTCTAATTTTTTCTCTCCCTGTGAGTTCCTGTGATTTATTTTTAATTTTATGTCCCAGGTGTGTGTTACTGGGGCTACAGTTGCCGATACACTGTGCATTGTTTTTGTACTATATCTTCTATTATGTCTTCCCTAGTTCAGCTTTCACAAGAGTATCCTCAGGGCAAATTGTGTAATAAATGATGCAAAGAAATTCAGTGTGCTTCAGGGTACTATTTAATATTAATATGTTATTTAGTATTAGTGTTGTTTCAAAACATTACTGATGGAAATGATCATTTAGCAGTGCTTAAGAAAAGGTGTATGACTTAAACTGAGATTTATTTTACATTATTCCCAGTATTGAGATGAATTGACAGGTTTGAGTTGGATAAAAGGAACCAGCTCCAGAACAATTCACCTCAATTGGAAAATAAAGATTAAGTAAATTCTAATTTCAACAATTTCCCTTCATTTCACGAAGAAATAGTCTTAAAACAGAAAAGGGGATAGCTAGAAAGACTTATGTGTGTGAAGGGTTCAGATTTACATATGGGCCCCAGTTTTATACTCCATTAGACTCCACCAAAAACCTGCCAAAACAGTTATTTTTACGGTAAGTATCGCTGAAGAATCCTTAATAGCTGCACAAATAATGACATGAAGAGTTTTGTCCCATGCAGAATTCACTTCCTGCTCCTTTTGACAATGCCATAAAGGTCTGTGGTCCAGCTGGGCATGGCAAAGGTTAGCTGCTATCATCATATTTGCTCAGTATGTAACTGTTAACAGCATCAAAATGCTAAAACTATAATAAAGGCAAAGTCAAAAGATGCACCTCATCAATGTTTATAGTTCATGATTAAGAAAAAATTCAAGATTCAAAGATTCAAAGCATTGTCATGTGTACAAAGAAAATAATTTCTCTGTGCAATGAAATTCTTTCTCTGCTGTCCACACACAGATGCCGGTTAATATGTACAAATAGGACTAGAACAGATAAAATACAAATAGTATAAATAGAGACAAAAATTGAAGTATTAAATAGATTTGTGTGCAAAAGAGCTATGAGCTTAATATGCTGGTTTGATATGTAAGATGACCTGATGTGAAAAAATTATTATTACTGTTAAAATAGGTCAGCTGTTCAAGAGTCTGATAGCAGTGGGGAAGGAGGAGTTGTGGAGTCGGGATGTTCTGGATTTCACACTTCTAAACCTTCGTCCCGAGGGCAGAAGTGTGAACAGTCTGTGTTGGGGGTGTGTGGGGGTCTTTGAGGATGGAGGCAGCTCTCCTCTGTTGCTGTGGCAGGGCATGGTTTGTCGCTCTGCTGCTGTGGCCCAGAGGAGAGAGCTGTGGTGTGCAGCAGGAGGTCATTGAAAAGGTGCTGCAAAGAAGAAATAATTGTGCAAATATACAGTCATTCATCACGTGCTGAGTTTCAGTAAGGTGAACAAGGTCTCACAGTTTGACGCTTATCCCATGGCCCAGGTCAGCAAGCTCCTGGACCGAGTAGGCACAGCTCATGTTTATTTATTCATCCAGGGGCTACTGGCAAATTTTCTTGGATTGGATGGATGGAGGTACAGTAACTGGTAAGTACATTCCTAAAACAAAAACAAAAAAAGAGGTGAGGCTGGTCTTGGGGCTTGCCAGTTACTACCACTGGTTTGTGGTCAGACCTGACCAAAAGGTGCCAAGGATCTTGTCCAGTGAATGGAGCAGTACCAGCTGGCATTTGTACAGGTAAAGAAGGCCCTCTATGGGGAACCCTTACTCCACACTGCTCAATTTTCTCTCCCTTTTATTCATGAAATGCCTTGAATAGAGGGGTGGGGGCAGTTTTGTCCCAGCAGGTACTGGAGGTCGATTGCCTGGTCGTTTGTATCAGCTGAAAGCTGTCAGAGTGGGAAACCTTGTAGACTTTACTTTGCAGCCATTTAACACTCTAATAAAAATTTACCAAGTTAACAATCCTTGAACAAACATTCTTTTTTTTTTTTTTTTTTCTTTTGGCCTGTCCCGTTTGGCTCTTTTGCCATCAGAATTGTTGTCTAAAGGCAAAGAAAGATACCCAACGGATTTACTTTACCAAACTGACCATCCCAGCCTTGCCGTAATGGTCCATTTGATTCACCTTTTATTGTTTATTTTATTTTCACTTACTGAATACGGGACAGACTTGACTGGGGGAAAGAAGGGGAGAAAGAAAGAGGGAAAGAGAAACAGCTGAGAAGAGGGACGGGGGAGAAGGGCAAAAGACAAAAACCAACAGAACGGGCAGAGAAAAAAAATGCATATATCAATCACCTGGATCACCTGCTGAGAAAGAAAAAAGAGAGCAAGCAGAAGAGAACAAGAGTAATAGAATAAACAACATCACAATGATATATGGGAATATGACAGTAAATACTAAATGTTAAGCATTATTGTGCAGCACATAAGATCAACAGAACACAGTGTGCTTTGAGGTAGGAGCCAAAAAGGGTGTAGTTTGTGGGTGTGATCACCCGTGTGTACACCTGTGAGCATGGACGCGCTTGTTTTTTGTTTTTTTAAAAGGTTCCTTCATGTAATAATCTGCTAGAGGGTGTGGGGGGGCCACAGCCCCGTCCTCCAGGGCGTGAAGCAGGTGTGGAGGAGATCAAAACTCCAGACATCCAGAGGCCCCCAGAACACAAGAGACCAAGGAAGACCAACAGAGGGGCAGCTGCGCCACTGTCCCGGAAAGAGCTGAGGAGAGTCCCAGATGAGGGCTCACTCAGCAGCCGCGGAGCAGAAGCCAGGGGGAGTTGCAGTGACGCACCTGTGAGCTCCGCCAGCAGCCAGCTGCGCCTGAGTGACCGAGCCCCAGGCCGAGAGGCCGGGGGCACCCCACCTCCGAAGTGGCCCGAGCGAGCCCCAGGCTCCAGGCCCCGATAAGCGGCCGCCAAGGAGTGACATTCTTTTAATAGCCAGCAGAGAGTGACTCCTGTGATTTCAGAGACACTTTTGATTGTATGTAAATCTATGAGAAAAGGGGCAAAAGTACTCTAGGTTTCCAAAACATGCATCTCAAAGCTTCTCTAACTAATTTTCTATGGTAGCTATCAACATCTTTTTTCCAATGACAGCTTTATCCTACCCTTATTAGTGAAGCTTAAGAAGCAAACTTAGCTGTTGTAGCCATCCATTTTGTAGCTTTTGTCAAAAAGGTAATATAAAATAAAACTGATGATGTAGATCAGTGAATCAATTTGTTGTTCACACTTGGCATTCAGCTTGGTGAAAGGGATAAAAAAAAATCTAGAACATCTTATACAAGATTTCAAATGTATTTCATTTGAATAACTATAGAATTAGCAACAGTAAATTCCTTGAATATCAGCAACTGAAATCCATCGTACAGGAAAAATTTAATCCCAGTCAACACAATCTATAAAAAGCTACTTGGGTAATAAAATCTCTGTACCCCCAAATGGTAATCAAAAATGTATAAGGTGTTGTTTAAAATTGACAATTGTTCTTGCAAAAGCAAAATGTGTTCATCACCACTGTGCATTCAGATCAAAATTCTGATTGCAAAAGGAAAGAGGACAAAATAATAAATAAATTAAACAAGTGACTTTCCAGAAGCCACGGTTGCACTTTATTTTGTTTACTTTGCTGTGACACATTTATATGAGAAAAGAGATCAGAGACTACACCTTTACATACCTCTTCCTTTTCTAAGATCATTCGTTACTTGAAGAAAACAAAACTGAACAAACTCAAATCAAACTAGATCTAGTCCCAGCATCACTTCCATCACACCTGTGAAGTGTGGTGGGTCAATTCCAGTACTACTTAACACAGGTTTGTTTTTGTTTTCCGCCGTCTGTTCCAAACAATAAGTCCAGCATTTACATAATGGTGATCATTTACAAATCACATCAACTTTTTTGATTTCTGCGTTGCCTCATCATTCCTGGATGCTCTCATAGACTTCAAATCGGTACTGAATCCCATTCTCCTCCTGCAGCTCTTGTGGTACATCTGGAAACCTGTAGGAGAAATGATCTTTAACCTTTAATGCATCTTGATTCATCTACAAATAAAGTTTAGAGGGAAGTGCATTATTTCACATTCAAATACCCAATTTCAACATCATTCACATAACACTTTATTATATAATCAACCTTCAACATTTTCCTTACTTTGTTATGTGTGTACCAAGGAGTATTAGAGCTATTGATCATTTTGAGAAGGAGGTACAAATTTTGAGATAATTCTTGAAATAGTATTTTGACTATAAAGTTGAAATGTGTTGATTAGTTGTTTTTCCATGATGAACTGCCACGGCTGATGTGACCCTATACAAAATGCCCGGTGTAGAGGATCAAACAAATTATTTTCCATATAAAAAAAAATTGTACTGCGATGATGCACTGCACTGCATTATTATTTTTTGTGTAGTGTCAGATACTCCCTCTCGACACTTGCATGGACAAAAATAGTCACACGGCTCCATTATAGAACTTGCAAAGATACAAGAATTTCATGCACTGGCCCACAATGGGACAAATGGGATTCTGGTGGAATACAGTAAAACTTCCAAATATCAGTGGCTCATGGTAGTGCCAACTCCAAGCAACAGTTACCTGAAGCTTTATATTATAAGGTAAAGACCCTACAATAATACAAAGAAAATAGAGAAAACAATCAGATGACCCCATTTGAGCAAACACTTTAGCAAGAGTGGGAAGGAAAAACTCATTTTTAACAGGAAGAAACCTCTGGCAGAACCAGGCTCAGGGAGGGGCAGCCATCTGTTGCGACCTGTTGGGGGTGAGGGGAGGAAGACAGGACAAAGACACACTGTGGAAGAGAGCCAGAGATTAATAATAACTAATCATTAAATGCAGAGTGGTGTATAAACACATAGTGAGTGAAAGGGAAACACTCTGTCCATCATGGGAATCCCCCAGCAGCCTAGACCTATTGCAGCGTAACTAAAGGAGGATTCAGGGTCACCTGATCCAATCTATATGCAAAAATATTCAAAATGAGACCTGGTTCCACAGAAGAGGGGCCTGGACGCTGAAGTCTCTACTTCCCATTCAGTACTATATTTCAAAGATTTTCAGGGCGGAGTTCAATAACCTTAGTTTTATCTGATTTTAGAAGGAGTAAATTAGAGATCATCCATGTCTTTATTTCTTTAAGACATCACTGAAGTTTAATTAATTGGTGTGTGTTATCTGGCTTTATGGATTGAAAAAGTTGGATATCATCTGCATAGAAGTGAAAACGTTTGCTATGCCTTTTAATGATAGTGCATAAGTATAGTGTAAACAGAACTGGTCCTAGCACAGAATCCAGTAGAACTCCCAAAATTATCCTCTTTACACACAAGTAATTAAGTGTGTGAAGAGGACTCTCAATACAAACAAACAAATTGGAGACTGTTAGATAGATATGTTTCAAACAACTGCAGTGCATCACCTTACCTATCAGCATGCTCTAACCCAGGGGTGGGCAACTCCAGGCCTCGAGGGCCAGTGTCCCTGCAGGTTTTAGATGTGTCCTTGATCCAACACAGCTGATTTAAATGGCTACATTAGCTCCTCAACATGTCCTGAAGTTCTCCAGAGGGCTGGTAACGAACGAATCGGTTGATTCAGGTGTGTTGACCCAAGGTGAGATTTAAAACCTGCAGGACACCGGCCCTCGAGGCCTTGAATTGCCCACCCCTGCTCTAACCACTGTAATAAAATATAAGGATAAGCACAGAGACAAGTAAACTGACAGAGGCCATAAGAAGATCATTTTCCCTTCACTAAAGCTGTTTCTGTGCTGTGATGAGCTCTGAAACCTGACTGACTGTTTGACAACTACTCTTTCAAGAACCTTTGAGAAAAAACAAAGGTTGGAAAATGGCCTATAATTAGCTGACAGATGGGTCAGGTGATTGCTACTGCCAGCTCGACAGCCTGTGGTACGTAGCCAATTAATAGAGATAAGTTGATCATATTAAAGAATTGAAGCATTAATTAATGGTACGACTTCTTCGAGTAAGGGCCTGGTGGACGATAAATAAGAAATAAAACAGTTTTCTGGATTTTCCAGCTAGGGTGGACAAAGCTAAGCATCAGGGAAACTCCTCGGCCTGTTCTTCGAGGATTCCCGACAATTAGTGTGACTCAGGGGTATTTTAGTTCTGTTTAATGATTTGAAATGTGTGACAAATATGCATAAACTAGTGCCAAGCATGTGTGACGGTCTTACTCTGGCAGCAGATGATATTTGTCCAGACTGATCTCAGGTAAGAATGTGTCGCACTGAAACTGCTTCAGAATTTGAGTGACAAACAGTCTTCTCATTCCCGTGCTCCCCATCATCTCCTGGATGATCAAAACATAATTAAAGAGAAAGGTGTGTAGTTGCAGCTTCTCTTGAAGTGCTTCACTATATAACCATCAATAGTAGCAGTCACCAGTGTGACAGTAAAAACTAGGGCTGAACGATATATCGCATTTGCGATAATATCGCGACATGATCAAGTGCAATTTTCTAAC